TGTCTTTACCACCGTGGACCCTGACCGAGACGACGTCGCAGCCATGGCTCGGTATGTCCAGGACTTCCATCCGAGGCTGCTGGGCCTAACCGGCTCCCCCGAGCAGGTGGCCCAGGTGAGCCGCAGCTACCGCGTATACTACAGCGCAGGCCCCAAGGATGAGGACCAGGACTATATTGTGGACCACTCCATCGCCATCTACCTGCTCAACCCTGACGGCCTCTTCACCGACTACTACGGCCGGGGCAGGTCAGCGGAGCAGATCGTGGACAGTGTGCGGCGGCACATGGTCGCCTTCCGCAGCATCCTGCTCTGAGGTACTGCCATTAAAATGGGATGTTTAGCCCATGTGTGTGAGCGGTGCCGTCAGTCCTCTTCTCAACAGCGCGGGCCTTCTTAAGGACTTCCTCAGGTGGGGGGTAACATTGCTACTTTATTAGGCTGGGCCAGCCCGGGAGTGACACTGTGGCCGGCAGGTGTGCGGCTCCTGAGCACACCCCGGCAGTACAAATGCTCAGTGCTCTGCACTCAAGGCTGGGCCATGGAGGGGGCGGCGTAGGTCTGGAAGCGCTTATGGGCTCGCTGGTGTGTGAGCAACCTCAGGGACATGGTGTCCACAGCTGCATCCAGCCCTGGCTGCTGGGTAATCTCCACCGTGTAGTCATTGGCCTGCAGAGGTCAGGCATCAGTGGGTGCAGGGACCATCTCTCCTCCCCACACACCCAGGGCCACTCACCAGCTGCAGGGAGGCCAGCATGGAACGGCACACCTCAAAGGCAGGCTGGCCGGCCACCAGTTCCGCAAAGGGGCACCACTCATTGAGCCGCGGAAACTGAGAGACCACCTGGTCCCCATAGGTGTGGATATCAAAGGGCACGTGCTGCTCCTGAGCAGGGACAGGGAACACTGGTGATGCAGGGGCAAGGCCTGATGCCCACAGTTGCAGCCTGCACCCCACCTCACCTGCTCCTGGAGTAAGGGCTGGATGGTGCCCTCCCAGTCCCTGATGCGCTGGCTCAGCTCCGTCTCCCGGACAAACTTCTGGGAGGTAGCGATGAAGAGTTCCTAGGGAAGGACCACAGAGGCTCCTGTCTTTCATGCAGAGCCAGGCACCCCGCTGCCTTTCCATTCTGACCCAGACCTACCACATTCCTTCGAACCAGCTCCTCATAGCTCAGGGATGCCTGCACACCCTCTGCTTCTGGGGAAGGAACAGCTGTGAGCCAGCCGTGGCTTTGGGATGCCCCCTGCCTCCACCCCCACGCAGCCCTACCCAGATCAGCCGCTTCCCTGGGCTCTGCTTCCTCTGGCTCCACGTACTCCTCAGGCTCCAGAAAGTCATCTGCCAGGACACAGAAGAGAACCCCATGGCACCTGGTCAGCCAGCAACAAGTGTGAGCCCCCAGCAGACACTCACCTGCAGCCCCAAGGTCCTCCAGGGAGTCCTCCAGGCGGTCGTCCTCTGCAGGCCATAGCCCCTCCTCAGCCCTTGGCAGCCACCGTGCGGACACCTGTGCAGAGCGTTGTGAAAGGCACTGCCACCCCCACTGGGTCCCCCAGGTCCCAGAGCACAACCATAGCCAGAGCTCACCTCTCTCCTCTGCAGCTCTCGGAGTGTCTCCAGCTGCTCCTTCACATGCGTCCAGTACAGGACCTCCATGTCTGCAGACAGAGGCCCCCATGAGCTCTCCCCATCTTGCCCAGGGCCTCAGGTGGCTGCAGGTAGGGAGTCAGGAAGGCAGAGTGAGGTAGCCCAGCACCCGGCCTCACCTGCGAAGGATGGGCCCTTTCGCCGGGGCCTCCTGTGGTCAGCATGGTCAGCATCTGCAGAGAATGAGAGCAGCAGGAAATGGGCAAGGCTCCACCCTGCCCTTGGGTCACGGGGGCTCCCAGGACTGGGGAGAGTGCTTCCCTTGCCCACCCCTCCCCACTCACAGGCAGCCAGGTACCACTGGTGGAAGTCCTGCAGCTTGGTGCTGCCCTTCCTCTTGCGCTTCTGTCCTGGAGCCTCCTCCACACAAGGGGGTATAGAGTAGGGTTTACCTGTGGGCAAATGGAGACTGTCTCAGAGCAGCTGGGCCATTGGGGTACAGGGCCCACCCCACCCCAGCAAACCCAGCAGAGTACCAGAGGAGAGTTGCCGCCACCCTGTTACCTTTCTTGAAGGGCTTAGAGTCCTGGGAGTCAAAGGGGTCCAAGCTCTTCCAGGGGTCTGGGGTCTCCTGAGCAGAGGGCACAGCAGATGCTGACAGGGAACACTCCCCACCCAAAAACCCAGACACCAAGTGTAGTAACAGTCCACAGCTCAACTTGGGGCTAGAGGTGTGCTGCCAGGCAGAGAGCAAGCTCAGGATACCAGGAGAGGGACCCACACTGCTCCGAGGGGGATTCTTCAGAGACAGCAGGTAGGGTGGCCACAGCTCGAAGCTGGAGCACCAGCTCCCCACATGCCCCATCAGGGTGGGGCTAGGGCCCCCATACACCTCACCTTCAGCTGGGACATGGGCTCCACAGCCACCTCTCGTTCCCGAAGCATGTACCTCCTGGGCAGGGCAGCACTCTACAAAGAAACAGCCACAAAGCCCTGTCCTGTCCTCTCCACCCAAGATTCTGGGTACTCTGCAGCCCTGCCCTGGGCTTAGTGTCAAGAACCCTGCAGGAGCTCTCCCTGTGAGCAGGAAGTTCACATAGTTCAAAGATGTAAAGGTAGAACAGAAACTAAAGATAAGGTGGTTAAGGCGCTGGACATTCCCACATGGCCCCCCCACAGTCTGAGTCCCAGACCTGGTAGCTTGCTTTCTCACTTTCCTCTTCTCTGTATGTCTGTCTTTCTCTGGTCAAATTAAATAAAATGAGGGGCCAGCCAGTGGTGTGGCAGTTAAGGTGGTTAAGGTGGATTCCCCCATTGCCAACTGTGGTTTGAGTCCCGGACCTGGAGGCTTGATTTCTCCCTTTCTCTCTCTCTCTCTCTGTCTCTCTCTGGTCAAATTAAAACACTAATAGTAACACATGAAATCTAATAAATAAATAATCCTTTAATAAATGAATGAATGAATGAATAAAATCAAATAATTATTAAAAAAAAAAAAACAACCTTAGACAAATTTTGGGATATACAGACTAGTAGTCATAGAAGACTTTTTCTTTAACAATACAAAAAAGAATGGAATTTAACAAGTGTCCTGTCACATGCCCACCAGAATTAAGAAATGTTAACATTTTCTCCTGTATGTCAGGCTAGGTATTGTTTTTCTCAAAAGCCTTGCCATAGGGCATGTGCGCTCACTAGAGAAAGAGAGGAAAAGTGAGAAATTACCCCCAGGGTGACTGCCACACTGCAGTGTCTTCTCCATTCTGCTTCTGGGATTTTGGGCATATATGCACAGGCCCTTGGTATGGTCTGGGACTCGAACCACAGTCAGCCCTATGGGAGTCTAGCACCTTACTACACCACCTACTGGTCCCCAGGCTGAGTATTTTAACAGATAGAGTTTCTCAGCGTGGGACCAGCAGTTAGCGTAATGGCTATGTCGCTGGACTCCCACGTAGTCGACCGTGGTTCACGTCCAGGACCCGGTGGCTTAAAACTCATGTCGGGCACATGTGCGTGTGTGCCCAAGATCCCGAGAGGAGAATGGAGGAGAAGGGACTGCAGCGTGACCATCCCCCCGGGGGGTGATTTCTCGCTTTCTGTCTCTCTGTCTGTCTGGTGAGTGCACGTGCCCTATAGAGAAAACCTCTCCAAAAAAAAAAAAAAAAAAGAGTTCCTCAGCTTGAAGTCAGACAGCTGACTTTTGGGGGTTGAGGCAGGCAGCAAGGGCCTCTAGACCTGGCGTCCTGCTAGCCTGACTACAGCAGTCAACATTGGAGACCAGCTGCAAACCCAGGGAGCCCTGAGCCCCATGGACAGACCCTGCAATACCAGCCCAGCCTCTGAGGCAGTGGCAGGGCGTCCGCTCCCTGCAAACCCAGCCCAGCCTCTGAGGGAGTGGCAGCTGCTCAGCTCTCAGAAGAGGGGCCTGGAAGCTACATATCCCGTGGGCTTCCCCTGCAGCGCCCAGAGTACAAGATCAGAGAGGACTGAGGCCAGCAGGCCTGGCGGCACCGTCCCCCAAATGGAACTCAAGCTCTCTGGGTCTCATGGGGGGGCCTACCTGCCGCAGGCTCCCTGGCTCCCCAGGCTCCAGAGGGCTCTTGGGGGCTGTGTCATCAGGGAGTTCTGCCGCCACCTCCACATCTTCCTCCTCACTCCCACTGCTGTGCATCGGGCCTTCTGGAGAGGGAACTGGGCAGAGAAGAGACCAGTCAGAGGAGAAAGGAGGGTGCTGCCCATATAGGGCAAGGGGCCAGGATGCCTGTGGTCAGTTCCAAGGGGGACCAGTCCTGCACTCTCATCCCCCTGGTGCACTTTGTGTGGTTCATTTTATTTCTTAGCAAATGTCCCTCTTTAAATGCTCCCATCTACCTCTGCCCAGAGAGGAGGAGGTCCCAGGCACCGAGAAGCCAGCTCCAAGGTAGCACCTGCACCGCCATGCCCTCCCATGGCCGGAGCAGGGTAAAAAGGGCAGACTGGGGCAGCTAAGAGAAGCCCTGTTCAGAATCTATCCTTGGCCCTCCTCACCTGGTTCCTGGCCGGGACTCCTGCACCCAGAAACCCCAACTGACTGCTCCTCAGCCCTCTGGGCATCTGGCAGAGGTGGGGCTAGACAGGTCAGCCCAGCCGCTCCTAGGAGATACCCCACCTTGGTGTCTGACGAGCCCCTCCACAGGGCCAGCGGGAGGGTGGAGCCCAACACATGCTAACCCCAGGCTGTGAGGGACACCGGGACCCTGGGCCAGGTGGACAGCCTCTTGTGCTAAGACCAGCTGGGCCCTTGTCAAGTCTTCAGTGACCAGAGCATAGGCACTAAAGGGGGAGTTCCCAAGACAGCTGGTGGACACAAGGGAGCCAACAAGAGCCCACCTGGAAAGCCCTCCACTCTCCCACACAGCCCCACACGCAGGCCTCACCCTTCTGACTCCTTGGGGCAGGGGCCATGCCCACCGGCTCCAGCATGAAGGCCCCTCGCGGGTGGGGAGTGCACGTGTTCATCCTGAAATCCTTCCGGCTGGCCAGGACCTCACCCTGACGGCTGTACTGGCAACACACACCCACTACAGAGACCTCCCAAGGCAGGCCGACCCCCCGCTGGCTCGGGCCCTACCTGTACAGGGGGTAGCTGCTCTTCTCCATCTCATCAGGGGCCACCAGAGCCATGGGCAGCAGGGGGACAATGAGGACATCCTACACAGAGGCCAAAGGAGTGAGCTCCGGGTGGGCAGTGGGAGCTGGCCACAGCCCTCCCCCTCCTGCAGGGACTGACCCTTGACACTCACACTGGGCGCCTGGTTCTTCAGATCCACGTTTGCCCGGGAGTCAGGGAAGTCATGCAGCAGCAGGAACTGTGGAGATGCCAAGAGCCCATAGGAGCTGAGCCCGGGTAGGCCCACGGGGGCAGAGGCCACATGCCCAAGAACCTCACCTCGTCCTCTGCTTCCCGGGGGGTCCTGGAGCTGGCGGTCCCATTGGCCCCATCTTCATGCACCGAAGAGAGCTGCCTGGCCCGCCTGCGAGAGAGGAACGGCTGCGGCACCCAGGAGGCTGCAGCAACCTGCCGCACCGCGTGCCCCTCCGCACTCACCTCTTGCCAGAGATGAAATCAAGAGCCTGGTAGACCAGCGAGTAGAGGTACTCCACCTGGTGACGGGCAGGTGGGCAGTGAGGGCACGGCAGGGGGGGGCCCAGGGCCCTCCCTTGAGGCCTTCTCAACTAGACCAAGACAGGCACACTGAGAGGCCTGGCCATCACCTCCAAACCCCGGCTCAAACCCCCAGTTTGCAGCCACAGTAATGGAACCACAGAGCAGTCACCAGAATCACTCCAGTGGCAAAGGCTGCCAGTCCCCAGCCTGTGCCCCACATTCTCTACATGACAGCAAGCGTGGCCTGTGTGCAGTGAGGCCCTGCCACGGCACGGCATCCACAGTGTGCCTCACACAGACCAGGTCCTCACACCAGCAGCCACTCCAGCACCTGTGTCTTTCCGCTCCTGAGTTCCCATGTTCCCTCACTAGCTCCCCCTCCTCAAGCAGGAGCCCAGGGGGCCAGGCGAGGCTCACCTTCTTACTGTAGACACAAGCTGAACCCTGGATCAACAGTGCAGCCTCGATGAAATTCATCGTGGTTTTGCCTTCGTCGAAGGAAATACAGATCTGGTCCAGCTGCAAGAAACACACCAGGGCACAGGGAGCAAGGCCTGGGCTCACTCACATCTCCCCAGGGCAGCCCCACCTCGCCCGGCCTCCGGCCTGGCCACAGTGAATCCCACACGGGCAGCTCTAGGGCTGGTCCTTGGGATTTTCTGGGAGACAGGTCCCTGTGGTTCTCCCTACTTCTTGTGACTTCTGAAACCTACATTTCGGAAGAGGAAGGACCCTAGGGCACTGTCCATAAAGGGCCAGAGCCACAAGCTAGCCCTTCTGAAGGCGCTCTAGGTCCTGCTAGCCACCAGGCTGGGGCCGGCACCGGGTGGAGAAGAGACAGGCAAACCACTAGGTCTCCACAGGTCCAGGCCACCCCCTTGTCGCCGACTGTCACCCTCAGACAGCAGTGCTGGGCCCCACCTCTGCCTTTTTCCCAGGAACACACCCTGTCACCTGCACTCATTGGTGAGCTGCCGACCAGCCCTTCCTAAAGACCCAGTACTGCATTCTCAGCTGCCCCAGGGGCCTTCCCTGAGACCTCCCAATGTCCCCAAACACCTCACCCACCCTAGCCACAGCTGGCCCTGTCCTCCCAGAAATGACACACTGAGGCCCATCTCTTCCGTTTTGTTTTCCTTTCACCTGGAACATCTGCCCCAGCTGTCCCCAGTGTGGACGCTCCTGCAGTCTTCCCGGGCTCCCCGGGGCCTCCTTCCCATCAGGGATACTGTGTGGCACTATCTCAGTGTCTCCTCCCTCAGTGGCCTGCCAGTGGCATCAGGTTAATTCCAACCTTTAGTTCAGTGCCTGACATTCGTGTCCTGGAAATATCTGATAAACAAATGAAGTGGTGAGGTCAGAGCAAAGCCTGGAAGTGGGGGCAGGTCAGCCAGGAACGACACTTTGTGAGAGCGACCACTACATAAAGGCACTGGTATGGCGACTTGGCAGGCCAAGTACGACACCCGGCTGACAGCCAGGGACAGGCAGGGCAGCACAAAAAGGGGGAGAGTCGAGAAGGATCCTCCTGGCCCCATTGGAGAAAGCGGGAGTGTTCAGAACTTGAAGAGCTCAGCTGGCGTAAGGGGTGTGACGGAAGCGGCTGTGGAAGTGACCCTCCCAGTCCAAGCTGGCTCGCCTGCCCCGAGACCTAACACTCCACCTGTCTTCTCACAGCTCCAGGTTGGACCTCCCATCCAAGCCCAACCGCCTTCTTCAGATATCAGGGGGTGTCTTAACCAAGATTCATACTGAGCAAGTACACACTGGACTCTAACCCCGAAGCTGCCCGCCCAGCAGCCCAGGCTGTATCCCCTCTCTATCTCACCTTCTGCTGG